ACCACAAAGTTAGAATTCCAAAAAAGTTAACTGGCCTTATTGGGCAGAAAGATTCTTCAATATATAAGTAATTTGCACTGGAGAACATGCTAACATGCATCACCATCAAAAAACATGGCGTTATGTGAAAAGATAACATGGAAGAGGAAACCAAACCACCCATGCGATAAAATATCGGTAGAAAGTGTGATATCACGAGATTTTTTAAAAACGAAAATCGAAAACGAAATAAAATCTAAAAAGTAACCATGCAGAAATCACACAAAAGTTATATGCGACGGATATATAAATGATGTCTTGCCATGTAAAGTTTATGGTCAAAAAATTCAACTGAGATCTGCTTGTCGCATCAAATTCAATCACATTCACAGGTTCATCACTAGGACATTCAAGAGAGCATTCTGAGCATCCTATTTATGATAGAATGAATTTCAGCTGCCTTAAAACCGCTTTAAACTTGCCATTGAAGATATCAGCGCATTGAGAAATAACTCAAAATTGATCTTACAAACTNAGAATGAGAAATCATTGAATGTTGATAAAACTGACAAAAAGTGAGTAAACTAGTGTTCGAATGAAACAAAACTCATCGATGTTCACATGCACACACCTCAAAGCTTTTCGAAGTGCTAGTTGAGCTGCTCGTGGGTGAAATCTGGTGGTGGTAAAGTGAAGAAGATTCATTCAGCTGTGCCGTGCGTTTTAGAACAGTTCGTGTTTCGGCACCGCACTCATTCATGACGTTTATACGGAGTTTTAACTGCTGGATTTCTTTGTTTTGTCGATCCTCGTTCATCTCCATTTCGCGAATTTTTCGTAACGCATTCTCATGCTCAACTCGTTCTCTGAACGATTCTGATTTCGACTCTATTGATGAGATTGCCGCTTTTCAAGGGAATACATCTGATGCTTGGTGGGGTGAGGTGAAATCTGTGCATTCTGTGATCACAAAAGGTAAAAAATTGGGGAATCAATCGCAGGACACCAAAATCGTAACCAGACGAAGTGAATAAATCAAGAGTGTGATCGATCGAGTGTTGGGGAAGGTGTGATCGATCGGGTGTAGGAGAATCAGATGTGATCTTGGCAATCCGAGTGAAGTGATGTGGACAACTGAACTTCAAAACAGTGAATGTCTTGGGATGCAACGTCAAGAAGACAACAACAAACAAAGCGATGAATCCTAGGCTTCAGGACTTTGTTCACACAATCAATGCACAAAGGTGTACAAAACAAATAGTTTTTGGTTGAGGCTGGACAATTTCAACGGGAAAGATTGGAACAGACTAACTGACAATTTAGCTGTCAGAAATTTTGATCACTAAGTCATCTGAATGCATCTGGTCGTAGGAGTTTCATGAATAATGTGACGAAAACAAAGTTAACATAGCAAATAGGACGACATGGAATGAACAGTCATTGCACTCAAAAACAATCACAACCGATAGGCAAAAATTCGCCGCAGGGTGAGTCTCATAGCTTAGTGCATAGGACAAAAGATCTACTCAATAACCTAATATGATCTTTCATACGTGATATGTGAAGATGGGGAGCACCATAAGCTGTTATTTCTCTGGAAAATAGAAAATAACTGAATAACAAGTTCATTTCATAAGCATGACATCAAGCAAAATTAATGTAGAGTACAAATTCCGTTGGAATGCACACTGGGATCTCAAAATATTTTTTATTGAACGAAAAGAAACGAGCTTGCGGCTATGCATTCAAGGTTGCGAAAATTAGTGAAAGTCCACCGACCTCTGAAGAGAACGAGTCTCCGCCGAACTTGCGTCAATTGCGGCACGCATGAAGGCTTTTTCTGCATCCAGATCCTCTAGACGTCTTTGTTTACGAGCGTTTTCGTTTTTCAATCGTTCATTCTCATCTTTGAGATGTTTCGCTTCCGAATTCAACATAGCATATTTCTGTTTCGCTTTATTCAACTCACTGTTCAAGGAACTCAGTTGTGCGGCGTGTGCATTCGATTGTGACGCAATTGCACTTAATTCACCTCTTAAACGGTCTGCTTCTTCCTCGGATTTCTTCAGCTGCTCTTTGCAGAGTTTTTGGGATTCCTTATTGCCCTCCAAATCATTTTCGATCAATTTCAGCTTCACCTGTGCCCGCTCGAAATTGGATTTGCTCTTGTCTAGCTCATCTGCAAGACGAGTTCGTTCGCTTTTCAACGCTTCTAATTGATCACGAGTTGAAGTCAACTCTTTCTGAAGCTGTTTCCGATCATTCTCGGTCCTTTCTTGAATACTTTTCGCCGTAGCCAATTGCTCTTGAAGTTGTTGATGCTGAAGGCTTTCATAATCGCTCTTCATTTTAATCTCTCGCAGCGCTCGCAACTCACTTCTGAATTGCTCAGAATCTTCCCTAAGCCGCGCAATATCCTCNGCTTTTAATCGTTGAATTTCATTCTCCTGTTTCTGTGACAACTCCAAACGTTGATTCGCAAGGCGTTTCTGCTCCGTGGCATCCGCTTTTGCTGCGGCCAGTTCTTTCTGCTGAAATTCGCTCAAGTGTTCAGTTTTACTAGCTTTAGCTTTGAATCCTTCCGCTTGCTTACGAGAATCTCTCAACAGCTCATCGCATTGTGCCAACTGCTTTCGAAGACGTTCGATTTCGTTCACATAACTCTCGTTACGTTCCTGATATTTCTCGGTATCTCGTTGAAGTTGTGCTAACTTCTTCAACGCTGATTCCTTCGCATTATTCGTCTCAGATGCGTTCTCCTGAGCGTTGTGCAACTCTTGCCGCAACGTTTGCAACTCTGTTTCCAGTGTCTTCTTCCCTGCGTCTCGTTCCACCTGCTCTTCATTAATTTTCTTCCTCATATTGCTCAACTCGGAATTCAACGCATCTTTCTCTGCATTAGCCATCTCTGCTCTGTCATTCTCGAGTTTCAATTTTGTCTTTAAATCAATGATTTCTAGTCGAAGACGATTGCGATTCTCGGTTTCTTTGTCAAGACTGATCTTCAGTTGGATCATCTCCTTTTTGGTTTTTGATATATCCTCTTTGCTTTCAAGCGGCTCTTTTGAAATATCTGGTGTTCTTTCCAAAACGCA